CCCCTCCTCCCTCAGACCCAGGGGTCCAGGCCCCCAGCCCCTCCTCCCTCAGACCCAGGGGTCCAGGCCCCCAGCCCCTCCTCCCTCAGACCCAAGGGTCCAGGCCCCCAGCCCCTCCTCCCTCAGACTCAGGAACCCAGTACATTTTTCCCCACTTCTTACTGGTTAGCATCCTCATTGACTCCTTCATCCTGACCCACAGGAGGGGATGAGAAAGAGCACAGAAGGTTCCTCAGGCCCTGCTATACCTGCCATCATGGTCAGTGCCCCCCTGCCCTCACCCCTACCTGTCTCTGCACTGTTTCGCCCCCTGGCCTCTGTCCTTTCTCATCTCACCCTTTTCTCTCCTCCAATGACACAGGAAAGTGTTCTGGGCTTGGCAAGGGAAGGGGAACTCAAAAGACCTAGTTTCTGTTCCCATTATGGTCATGTCTGTCCTCGGGTAACAGGCTCTACTTCTCTCTGCCTCAGTTTCCTCTTCTGTAAGTGGGTGACGATGTCAGCAGTTACTGTAGAGTGAAGGCAACTACAGGCTGGGGACTTTTAAAAAAAGTCACTTAAAATTGTGTTGTATTTATTTATTTTGGTTTCTTCTATAAAACCCTTTTTATTATAGAGATGTTCAAGCATAGGCAAAGGTAGAGAGAACGGATTAATCAACCCCTATGGACCCCGGGCAGCTTCAGTGATGGTCAGGATTGAATCTTGTTTTACTTGCCAACTTTGACTTACTGATTCCTCGCCTACTTGCCACTCTGCAGTAGAATATTCTACAGCAAACTCCAGATGTTCTATCATTTCATCCAATAGATAAGTTTATGAGATTATTAATAATTCTGTATTATCCTAACACATGGTCCATATTCACATTTCCCTAATTATCTCCAAAATGTCTCTCTCTCTTTTTTTTTTTTGCTGAGGAAGATTAGCCCCAGCTAACATCTCTTGCCAATCTTCCTCTTTTTTTGCTTGAAGAAGATTAGCCCTGAGTTAACATCTGTGCCAGTCTTCCTCCACTTTATATGTGGGTCGCAGCCACAGCATGGCTGATGAGTGGTGTAGATCCATGCCTGGGATCTAGACCTGCGAACCTGGGCCACTGAAGCAGAGTGCGCCCAACTTAACCACTATGCCACAGGCCTGGCCCCTCCGAAATGTCTTTTTATAGCTGGTTATTTGAATCTGGATCCAAACAAGGCACCCATAATGCATTTGATTAAAATGTCTCTTAAATCGCTAATCTTTAAGAGTCTTCCTCCCCCTCCACTTGTTTAAAATAATGCCACTTATTTGTGGAAAAAAATCGAGTCATTTATCATGTCGAGTTTCTCACATTCTACATTTAGCTGCCGGTTCCTTATTAAAGTTTTATTTTTACCCAGGCGAATAGCACGAATATGTTTGTCGTAAGAACATGACAGCGTAGAGAAAAGAAGGTGTCCCCACCACACCTCGGGCACTGGTGTTTTCTGTTGAGGGGCCTTTGAATCTTTTTTATGCTTTTCCACATACCCTGATCAAACCATGCTTTGTGAATTCATTTCCCCGTTAACGGGCACGTTGTTCTCAACCTGTTTTTTGTTTCTCCACCGTGTGTCCTTTCCTTATTCATCTCAACCAGTATTTATGGAGGGCCTGCTGTGGGGGAGGTCCTGGGGGGGCAGCAGGGACCCAAGTGACAGTCCCTGCGCTCAGGGAAGCTGATGTTTCCAGAGCAGAGAGACAAAAAGCAGCATCAATAAGTGAAACACCTAGCAGGCCAGGTGCTGATAAGAGCCGGGCCGTGCAATACAGCAGGAAGGGTGGTGGAGCCTTCCCGTTGTCGGGCATAAGCTCTGCCTCATTAAAAATGAAGCTCTCCTGCTTGCTGGCATCATCATTTATTAAACAGCCCCCCGCTGTCTGCATTGTCCCGCCACCCCCGCTCACACCCCGAGCTGCCTTCTCGTGCATGGGAGCAGGCATTTCTCTGGGAATCCCAGGGTGGCGAGCCGGGCAGCAGTGAGCCCAGCCCTAAAATGGCCCCGTGAGGAGGGCGCTGTGAGAAGCCCAGGTTTCAGCACAGGGAAACTGAGGCCCCGAGAGGGGCAGGGCTTCTGTGGATGTGACACAGGTGGGCAGTGGTAGAGCTGAGGGTCCCAAGCTCATCTGTGCTCTCCTAGATCGGAGCCCCGCTCTGCCACATCCTCCCTGGGTGACCTTGGTGAGTCACTTCCTTCTAGAAGCCTCAGTTTCCCCCCTCTGTCAACTGGGGACAGTCGTGGGTTGTTTTGGAGAGGAAATGAAGTGATTGCTTGGCACCATGCCGGACACATGGTGGCAGCCTCCATACACGTGGTGATAGTGTTACTGTATGGATTTGGCGAGGTGACCTATAGAAGATTCCAGGCCCCACTGGGGGCCTTTTTCACCGCCCCTTCCCCTCCTGTGCATCCCCCCGGCTTTTCCTGATTCCCCTCCTCCTCGTTCTCCCCACCTCCATCCAAGGAGCCTCATCTCTTTCTCCTCCCTGCTTGCTCTGGCCTTGCGTCGGTTTTCTCAGTTGAACCCAGAGTGTGGTCCGTGGACCGGCAGCATCCACATCCCTGGGAGCTCGATAGGTGTGCAGAGCCTCACCCCCACCGCCGAGTGACTGAATCCCAGTCTGCATTTTCCCACAATCCCCAGGGGGGTCTGTCTGTGTGCTGAAGCCTGAGGTGTCGCGCCCTGAGCCTCAGTGTGACCACGGCCATCACACCCCTCTTTGCAGGGGTCCTGTGGGAAGCACAGGGACGATGAGGCTGGGCGTCGGAACAGTAGACCTTTCACTGCGTTAATTCTTCTTCCCTTTGTGGCCACCTGAGATGACCGGCTCTGCCCGCTGAGTCCTGGCTCGGTCAGCTCTGGCTGTGTGACTTGGGCCTAGTGACTTAACCTCTCTGAGTCTTGGTTTCCACATCTGTAAAATGGGGCTAATAAGTACTTACCCCCCCAAGAGAGTTTGGGGGGCAGAGGGATTATACCTATAAAGTGCTCAGCACAGGGAATAATCACTAATTTCATCACAAGAACAATAACATCAACAACAATAATAATAATGGAAACAGTGCTCTCATGTTTTGGTTGCTTGACCAAATATGGTCCCTGTTTTACAGAGGCTGTATATGAGGGTCCCACTTTGGGGACTGTGGCCCATGGGTCCCTCACTTTTCTGACATGCTTCTGGCGTTTCAGGGTGAGCTCTAGGGTCAGGAAGACCTGGGTTCACATCCCAGCTCTGCCACCTAGAAGCTCTCTGTGACCTCAGGTGGGTTATTTATGAAGCTCCTAATAGCCCTGTGCTAAGGGTGGCCGTGGGGAGTCACGGAGTTGATGCTGGGAAGGCCCTGGGCAGTGTGTCATAACCCATAAATGTAGCTGCCAGAGTCATTATCGTGACCGCCCTTGTTAATATTACTGCTTAAAGGCTGTGGCAGACCTTGCGCAGGAGCCCTGCTGGCTCCCCCCGGGACTCCAGGAGGCAGGACCCCCTCCTGACCCTAGGCGGTCAGCTGCCCCCTTCTCTCCCCCCACCCCCCAGGCCCCACCCACGACCCCACCCCACCCTCCAGGCCCCAAGGTCTTGGATCTCCGGCAGCACTTGGAACGATGGGGCCACAACCCGGAAAACTGCCCGCACGTGGGGGTGTCGGGGGGCTGCTGCCGCGGACCCCTTGTCAAGATGGGCGGCCGCATCAAGACCTGGAGGAAGCGCTGGTTCTGCTTTGACCGCCAGGCCCGCCGCCTGGCCTACTACGCAGGTGAGCCCGGCCGGCCGCCGTGGGCCCCAGGACCCGGGAGGAGTCCGCTCGGAGGCTTTCCCCCCGGACACCTAGGAGTCCTGCCCCTCCTCCCCCTTAGGCCCACGGGTCTGGATCCCCAGCCCCCTCTTCTCCCAGGACCCAAGAGTCCAGATGCCCAGCCCCTTCCTCCTTGATCGACCCAGCCGTCCTGGGTAACAGATGTGTTGTACAATTCTGGCTCGCAGACCCCATCTTCCTAAGATACCCAGGAGGGTACCTGGGTGCCCTCAGGAGGGTCTGCAGCTGCATCGCCAGCCCCATCCTCCCTCCCAACACCCAGAAGTCCAGGCCCCTCCTCCTATTCTGACCCTCTCCTTGAGTCCCTTGCCTTCTCTGGGACCAAGGAACTCCAGGACCGAGGATCCCAGGTCCCCGGACCTCCTTCCCCAGTCTTGTCCAGTCTCCACACCCGTCTCCCATGTGCCATCAACATTCACTCACCCTGCAACCGCAGTACTTTTGGGGCCTTCAGACTCCGTCACCATGTTCCTCACCCCAACACCAGTCTCGGGGCCTGGGCCCAGTGACCCCCGCCCTGACACACAGACAGACCCCTCTCACTGACTCTGTTTCCTTCTCTCTCCCTCTGTCAGACAAGGAAGAGACCAAGCTGAAAGGCGTCATCTACTTCCAAGCCATCGAGGAGGTCTATTATGACCACTTACGCTGCGCCTTCAAGGTGAAGCCCTGCTGGGGGCCGCCCTGCCCTCCTGGTCTGAGCCCCTGCCGTCAAGCTGCGGTTTGTCCCCGGGAAAGGCCACCCACAGCCCCCAGTCTCAGGGTTCTCCATCCAGCACGGGGGACCAACAGGTCATTTCACTGCAGTGACCAAAGATGAAGAGCTCAGTCTCTGGCTCTCAGCCACGGTTACTGTTCTTGGAGCAAAATGTTTAGAGCAAAAATTTGGCAAACTCAGATGCCACGCTGGGGATAAATGCCTGGAGAGAGCAGGGCGAGGACCCTGGCGGCCCAGGAGCATCTAAAGGAGGCGATCCCTTCTCGGCTTCTGCCCACAGCTGCCAAGTGGGAATGTGCCCCATGGTGTCACATCATACGCTTTTCCCTAGAGAGCTCAGGAATTGGAAACTTTATAAAAGTGGGGTGCCAGGAATTTAAATGTTGGCAGCTGGCTCAGTGTTTAGAAGGAGAGCAGCCAACTATGGCTTTTTAGAGAGTAAGTTGGAATCCCAGCTGTGGGACCTCAGGAAAATGACTTCCCTTTGCCGGCCTCAGTTTTCTCACCTGCAGAATGGGCCACTTCAACCCATTTCCTCAGAGTTGAGAAGGTTAAGAACAGATAATGGATGTAAGGGATTTACTTAATTTGGGATTGGCAAATAGGTTCTCAATAAATGGACTGTAGACACCAGCTTTCCGCTAGGGGGACCTAGATTTTGGGGAGGGGAAATTTGAATGCTCATATTTCTAATACAGGAGAAGGTAGGCTGGGACAAGAGGACCTGGCGCCTCCTTTTAACTTCCTGTTGCTCCTAAAATTCTAAGCCCGGTCTTGTGTTAGTTCATGTAATCCTCATAACCCAATGAGATAGGTGGCATTATTTAGGAAGACAGATGAGGAAACAGATTCAGAGAGTCTAAGTAACTTATCCAACGCCACACAGCCTGTAATTAGCAAGGCTGGGATTCGAACCCACGTGTTGTCTTAACCACCTCCACTCCGCTACTTGTTCCAGAGCCCCAACCCTCGCCTGACGTTCTGCGTCAAAACCTACGAACGCCTTTTCTACATGGTGGCGCCGAGCCCCGAGGCCATGCGCATCTGGATGGACGTCATCGTGACCGCAGCCGACGAGAACCACGCCCCCTGAGCGGCCCCGCCCCCTGGGGGGACGTCCCGGCGAGGCCCCGCCCCTTTGGAACTCGCCCGGGAATTGTGCGGGCGCTGCGGCCGGGCTGGCCTGAGCCGCGGCGTTCAGGGCTGCAGGCGCCTTCCCGTGACGGGAAGCCAGCACCTGGGGCCGTGCCCTGGGCCGGGAGGAGGATTGACGGGGCGGGAAGGAACTATTTATTGGTGCTCCTGTGATACCGAATTAAACATGGAGGAAAAACAGTGGTTGCTGCTGTGGTTTCCAGCCCAGGCGTCTGGGGCCAGGCAGGAATCTGAGTTATGGGGACCTCAGAGCCAAGCGTCCCACAGCCTGTTCTCCCCTCTTAGGAATGGAGGCCTTTGACTCTAAGGTCAAGGCTGGGGGAGGGAGATGGGGACGCATGCGCCCTTAGTCTTGGGCAATTTTGTTTTTTTAGTTTGTGGGTTTCCACCCTTTTTGACTTGACCTGGCTATTGGCAATTTCTGGGAACTCCTAGGCTCCTGCCTTCCAGGTCTTGGCACATGTACTCCCTGTGGCCTTACCCTAACCAGCTGGCTCCTGATTCTTCAGGTCTTAGTTGCGATGTCGCCTCCTTCAGGAAGCCCTTCCTGACTCTCCTTGCTGGGTCAGGCACCTCCACCCCCTTAGAGCTCCCCTGTCCTAGCCCTGAACACCCTGGGTCATCACTGGTGATGGATCTGTGTCCTTATGGACTGGGAGCTCCATGAGGGAGGAGCCAGGCCTGTCCTGGTCACTGCCGTGTCCTCAGCACCGTAGGGCACATTTCATTCCATGGAAAAAAAGCTTCCCTTTCACCCCTCAGTCTTCGTACATACTCTTCCTTTCCCCACTCCACCCAACTCCTACTCATCATTTAGGTCATAGCTCAGATGTTTCCTTCTCCAGGAAGCCCTCCCTGATTCTCGTGGCGGAGTCAGATGCTTGCTCAGGGCTTCCCATCCCTGCCCTGATCACTCTGCCTGTGCTGCCCCCATCATGGCCTTGACTACTCTGGGCCATCACTGCTGATGAGTGTATCTCCCTGCTGGATGGGAGCCCCAGGAGGCAGGGATCGGGGCTGTTTCCATCACTGTCTGATCCCTGGCCCACAGCAGAGGGCCTAGTGCAAAGTGGGTATTGAGGGTGCATCCGATGGTTGAGTAAATTGATGAGAAAAAGAAGCAGAGGAGTGGGGAGAGTGGTGAACGAGGCAGACAGAACTCTGCATCCTCAAGGTCTCACCCAAGGTGTCCCCTCCTTTGAGAAGCTCTCCTTGATCCCTAATCTGCGTCAGGTGCCTATTCTGGGACTCCACACAACAGCCCCGCCCACTCCCGGCTGTCACTGTGGAGACAGGGCTTTCCCCCTTCAGTCCTCTCTGGAACTCGGCGTTCAGTCCCTCTGGTCCCCGTCTCCTCAGGACCTGGATGTCCTGTCCCAGGATTCCTTGAGGATCCAGATGTGGTGCTCCTGAGTCCTGGCCTTGCAAACACCCCAATCCCCAGGCCCTCAGGGGCCCCAAGTGTCTCTTGGCCTCCACCTCCAGGCGTGAGACATCTGGATTCTTGGATCAATTCAGCCCCCAGCCCCTTGCAAACTAGGCCCTGACTGGGGTCAGCTTCACGGGCATCACGGGTGTGTGCCCAGTGTAGTCAACAGGTCTTCCCGCTCAGAAGAGCCCTCTTGGGTCTGGTGCTCTGGGGTTGCTGTCTGGAAATTCTTACTTTGTATTTGCGTCTGTGTTTTGTAAGTGAAGTCTGACGGGACATGAGCTGGGGCCTTGGGGCCTCGGCTCACACAAGGTCCCACCGCCTGCCACCTCCCACCTCCCCGGGATAGCTTCTGTCTGCCTTCCCCTCTTTGCCCGTGCCCTGTGACCACTGCCACCCTCCAGCCCGGCAGAGCCTGGGTGCCCACGGGAAGTTCGGTGTCAGGCGCTTGTGCCTTATGGCATCTCCAGGTGGGGCATGGCTGTGCCCAGCTGATGGAAGGGAAACCCAGCAACGAGGCTGCTTTAGTTGTGGGCAGGGTCTCTAGACTCCTGTGAGGGTCTGTGCTCACACCTTGAGTGTCCCTGTGCCCAAGGGAATGTGACGTTAAACCCGGTGAGGGGCTGAGAGAGATGGCGGGAGAAAGGAAAAGAGTGTTTTCTTTCCATTTAGTACCTTCCACGGCACTCTTTCCTGCCTTTTGAACCAGGTTCCCATATTCTCATTTTGCACTGAGCCCTGCAAATTATGTAGCCAGCCCTGCCCCTGCCCCCACCCCTTCTCTGACGCATCCCAGACAGTGCATCCCGGAGGGAGTGGGTCTGAGACCGGCTGGGAGCATCACTGGGCTCAGAGCCTGCTCTGCCCCGGGGGACAGGAAACCCACAGTGGATATGGCCCCAAGCTTGTCTGAGGCCCTGGCATGACCTCCAGGGCCGGGGACCGCCTCTGCCCGGACCCCTCTGTTCATCTGTCTGCAGAACCAGATTCTAAATCTCTTTGCAGCGACCTCTGCAGAGAGGATCTGGGAAGAGTCATGGAGCTGGCCTGAGTACAGGGCCCGCATTCAAACCTCCCTCCGCTCTCTGGTCCTGGGCCAGGCCAGGGTCAGCGCCCAGAATCCGGGCAGGCCTGAGCAGGAGGAGACTCCCCACCCTGGGTCCCACTCCCTCCCGAGATGCTAGTTCTTCCGGTCTGGCCAGTTGGGGTTCCTCCCTGAAACTCTCCCACGCAGCTGGGGCCCCCGGGGCCTCCTGCTCCCGAGCACAGAATAATAATAGTATTGTCACCCTGCCTCCCTCCGTCCCTCAGGAGATAGGGGTTTTCAGACCCATTTGGCAAAGGAGGCGGCTGAAGTTCAGAGAGGGAGATCAAGTTGTTTGAAGTCACCCAGCAAGAGGATGGCAGAGGCAGGATGAAAATTTCAGTCTGTCTGCTTCTAGCCTTGATACTTTGCCCACTGCCTCACTCCAGCATGAAAGACGCTCCTTCCTTGATTATAAAACGGACACCTCAGAGACTCAGAGAGGTGAAGACACTTACGCAGGGTCACCCAGCAAACCCTAAGTGGGGCTGGGACTCCAACCTGGGAGGCAGGGGCTACTGCTGGATGACCTCACAAGGAGTCATTCACTTTCTCTCTCTGAGCCTCAGCCTGATGCCAAGTGACCTCACCTAGTGACTGAGGTGCTAGTCACTGTGGCGAATGGGGGTGCCCAACGGGGTCTGGGAGCAGATAATGTCTTTATGAACACAGCCGCTATTTTTCCTGCCAGAGAGAAATCTTATCTATGAGCCAGGAGAAACAAAGCAAGGTCTGAGCTGTAACATATAATAATATAATACATAACACAAATAATATAATGTAATGTAATGTAATGTAAGCAGTTGCTTATATGAACCGGGACGTGGGGATGCTCAGTCATTTGTGGTTTGTAAAGTGTTCTTGTTTGTGTGTTCACACATGGAAATACAGGGTCCTGATTGTGTCCCGCCCCATCCCGGTTACAGTGTGGCCCCATCTGATGCTGGCGTTCCGTGACATTGTCTCCGTGAAACAGAACACCACGGCCTCGCTGTGGTGTCAGCCGTCAGGGGCTGCTTTTTTCTTTCTTACCTGGAAGACTGTCCAGCCCCTCAGTGTCTCCTGGCCTTCTCTCTCGCTTCTTCTAGAGTCTTTTCCTTTTTTACACAGAGTGACATTTTTCCTTTCTTTTTTGAAGTATAATGTACACTGAGTGAAGTGCATTATGTTTACAGCTCAGCGATTCTTTACATTATCGGCACACACGTGTAACTACAATTAGAATATACTGTAGTATACGATGTATTGTATTGCATTGCCCTCCCCAGAGGAACCCCTGTTCTGCTATCTATCACCACTGATTAGTTTGTTCTAGAACTTCATATAAAGGAAGCCGTGCAGTATGTTTTATTTGTCTAAAGCTTCTTGAGCTCAACACAAAGTTTGGGGCATTCCTCCACGTTGCTGCCGTCACCAGCAGTTGGTGCGTTTTCATGGCTGTGTAGTATTCCACAGGACTCCTGAACCACTCCTTCTTTCTCCATTCACTTCTTGATGGATATTTGCCTTATTTCCCAGATTGATTGTTTTTAAAAGCAAATCTGATCATGTCCCCCAGCTGATTTAGAGCCTCTCAAAGGTTTTCTACTTTTTTCAGAATTAATTCACATCTCCCCTCAGGGCTTGTAATACCCTGAATTGTCCAGCCCCTGCCTGGCTCTTCTGCCTCAGTTTCTACCCTTCTCCCCTTGCCCTCTGAGCTCCAGGCACACTGCTCTCCCCTCTGAGTTTGAATGGTCCACGTTACTTCCCACGTCTAGGTCTTTGAGATCACAACTCCCTTTACATCCTTGGGGAAGCTTCACTGATCAGTGCCACTTCTGGACCCCACACCTCCTTGTAGCTCCCCACACTTCTTCACTGTCCTCCTTGTAAAAAACAGTCTGTATGGTTATTTGATTAACATCTGTCTCCCCCATCAGACTATGAGCTCTGTGTGGTCAGGCACTGGTTCTGTCTTAATCTCTATCACCCAGACCACAGCCCAGCACATGGTAGGTGCTCATTAAATATTTACTGAGTGCTGAGTGTTGAGTAGACCCTCTCTGTGAGCCTCAGTATTCTCCCCTCTACCTCCCAAACACACAGACTTTCTCCTGGGAGCCACTGGGGAACCCTGACTCCCGCCCTTTCCCTCCCTGGCAGCTGTGAGTGACGCACCCAGGGGTGGGTGCCCCGCCCCACGGCGGACGCTGATTTGGCCTGGTTGGGCAAGGCCAGGGGTGCCTGGGGGCAGGTTACTCATCCTGGGCTCAGGTAAGAGGGCCCGGGTTGGGAGGTGGCACAACCACGGGGGACGCCGAGGGAGCAGGACTGAGCCATGGACTCCGCCGAGAAAGCAGGCGCCCGGGCTGTGATCTGGACTCTGGGCTGGCTGCTACTGCCGCTGCTACTTCAAGAAGGTTGGTCTGCTGCCAGGAGAGGGCAGAGGGGGCAGAGTGGGGGCTCTAGGGAGGAGGGTCCCCCCTCCCCCTACAGAGCGGGCTGGGGGAAGGATCTCCATCATGGGCACAGGGGACTGGGGAAAAGTTCTTCCATCCTGAGCAGAGGGGGCTATAGGAAGAGTGCCCATCCTAGGCAGAGGGGACTGTGGAAAGGATTCCTGCCCAGGGGGGCTGTGGGGAAATTCTTCCATCCCTAGCAGAGCGGGGCTGTGGGAAGAGATCC